TCCTGRGTGTCAAAATGTGGCCCYCCACAGCATTTTYTGTGGCCTGCAAGAGCTTCAAATACTTATTWTTGTTATATTAGAGTTTGCTGGTTTAAAGTCAGCACTGACCACATCTCCCATAGTGCATGTCAGTTKTGTTACACCAGTAGGTGTTGGTGCAAAAGTAGCCAGCAGCCATGTAAAATCCCCATTTCACAGCATTTTTTCCAACTACTTTTGCTGCAGCCCWYTTGTACTGGGAAGTGGAAATTTCCCACGTACAAGTTGTAAATTTAAACTGGAACACACCCTTCTGTAGGAATTCCCTGTTGGAATGTGGGAGAGTTCAGAATTCAAGATGGCAGCTACTTACCACAACTCATCAGTGAATAAAACTGTTACTTTTACTTTTAATAGTATTTCTGTATTATTTATACCACATTTAGTCAGTCTTACACATATTATTTGTGCTGTGTTTATAAGAGGACGTGTTAAAACACTATTTCCATGCAAGAAATACCAGGTAGAGCTCAGTTATTGTATGTTAGCTGTACTCAGTTGTAGCAATGAGATGAGGAACGTGATGTTTCATGTTTAGTTAAAGGTAAACAAAATGTCAATGCTAACTACAACTGGCTCTTTGAGGGCCACCATAATACTCATGTGGCCCTCGGTGAAAATGAGTTTGACACCCGTTAAGCTAAGTATTTCACACTGACAATAAAAACCAAAACACTGGGTAAAAATTGCTAAAAGCCATCTGAAAGCTATATAGCAAAAGGCTAGCTAAAGTTTTATAAGTATAAAAATAATGTTTTTACAAATGATAACCAGGGTTTGTTGGTCGGATATCTCATAGCTCATACCATCTTCAGCTTCTGCCAACTCCAGCTGTGGTGGTTCCTAACAAGCTCCAACCAACCAGTAACATAAATTCCGTGCTTACTGAGATAATAGTTATTGTGTTTTTACACGTTTGAAAGCCAAAGCCCCTTCCACCACAACAAGCTTCTGCACCAAGCTGACATGTCCAGAACCAAATAGTCTTCCAGCAACTCCTAAAAAAGCAGCAAAATGCAAAAATAAAAAAAATAAAAAAGAACTATTTTCTACATTCAAACCTGACATTACTTTATAGAAGAGAGTAATGATGTTCCAGCAATTATTAACCTTTTTAACATTTATATTTCTAAAGATTCTTGGTGATGTTTCCGTCTGTCAGCGCTCTCTGCTGCATCGCTCCCGTCTCYTTTTTATTTATTATTGCCTGCACTCTCCAAAGACTCCTTTTAGTGCACATGTGAAAGGTGCAGTGGTGCTATCTTTGTCTCGTTCTTCCTAGCTCGTTCCCCCCACTTACTTCACCTCCACCCTCAAGTCTTCTACCCCGCCATCCCCCCTTCCTCTCCTCTCCCTGCAATCTGCCTCCCCTGGCAGTCTTCACCAGCCTGTGCAGCCTTTACTAACTAGCTGTGCACTCCTACTCGTACGGAAATGATGATGAGACAGCAAAACCACCGCAGAGACAATGCAGAGCAGAAAGAGAGGAAGGGAATTGGATAATAGGAAGGAGCTGCGGGGTGGGGGGACGCAACATGTGGAAGAGAGCCATCATTTGTGTTTTTTTATACACTTTTACAACATATATGTCCATCCCAAGGGAGTGCTGTGTCTTTGTGCAGGCCTTTTTTTCTTGTGTCTAGCTCTTTGTTGTCTTTTTTTTTTATTCAGTGCATTTTCTCCGCTTTGCTTCTCAAATCAGAAGCTATTAAATCTATCCCCTTCTCTTTTCTACTTGTCTGTCCATTCTCTTTGTCTTGAGTCACCTTTTATATAACAGCCACCACCTAGAGGGGCTTCTTTTCACCCACACACCCTGATCACTCCATCCTTCCCTTCCCTGTTTTCTCCTCTTGCTCCCTTCTCCTCTCACCCTGTTGCAGATTAGTTTGGAAACGAGCGGTCCTCCTGCTGGGTAGCTGTGGCTAGTCAGGCTGAAGTGCTCCTTCATTTGGTTCAGAAATAATTAGACGAGAAGCAGAAAATTAATCAAAAACTTTATGATCAAACACTGATTTTTTTTAAACGTCACATACCAAATCCAACTTCTGATCGTTCCCAAAGCAAAACAAGCAATTAGGAAGAGTCACTACAGACTCTGACATTCATTTTCTTTACTATTTTACATACTGATAAAATTAATGTTGATGAAATAAATAACTTCAWTTTTTTAATCTAATACTGTTTTAACGTCAGCTTCGGCCACATCTGTCTTGTCATGTTTTCTCAGCTCTTCAGCATGGATTGTTTTTGACTTGTTTGCCTCTGAACAATAATGTGTGTGTCTGTATGTTACCAAAATATCTAATGAATCAATTGAAGAATGTAACRATCTACAACTGATTAGCCGAGACAATCCAACTCAAGATGGCTGCCACAGCCAGCCGACCTTCAAAACTCCACAAATTGCTCTTAACTCTTTCGATTTTACAGATGTTGAGTTAAAGTTTGGTGTAGTTGAGTTGTTTTACGACAGGGGCGGGGCCACACAGGCTTTGGCCCTAACTGAAATCTGATTGGCCCCCTGAATTTCCCCTGTCCTTTACCTGAACGTGATGATGATGATGGYTGCAGTTCCATGTTCAAACACTAGAGGTGCTAATGAGTTATAAGAAGTCTTCTTCTCTTAAGAAGATTTGAACAATCCTGCAGAAAAACTCATTCAGCTGACAAATAATGGCTGGATTTTCTCACACGCTGTGTGTTTGACATTGTTTTATGAAATTGGTAAGGAGAATTTACTGTGCAATATTTTTTAATTAAATTACAGGTGTTTGAGCATGTGTGACTGGTTATATGTATGGCTTACCAAAACTAGGGATTTGTGTGCAAGGATGTAGGACAATTGTTTGGCCTTTCTAGGAATATGGTGACCCCCTTGATGGCCCCTTACTCAGAAAAATCCTAGATCCGCCACTGTTTTACAGCACCTTGAGTGAGACATCTTGCAACATGAGACTGTAGGTTGAGTTATTTTAAAGACTTGACTAAAACACCTTCTACGTTGTCATTTATTAACATAAGATGATCAAATTAAAGAATGTGTTTAATTTATTTGTTGCATTCGCAAGTACCAAAGAAATGTRAGTGATCCTTGAAACTGTTCTTTGTGTTCAGCTTCTCGTCCTCACTACTTCCTCAATCATGACTCCTTTTGTTTTACTCACTTGACTCCTTCTGACTTTTTACACAACCACACCACCACCCCTCGTCTTCTACCACTTTTACTCCCCTCCCTGCTAAATATAGTCCCCTTTGAAGTGTGGATGTCTTGTCTCTTCCCGCAACACTGCAAGACAAAAGTCTGTCATCCAGCCTCCCGAGCAGCGGGGATAGAAGGCGCAGATAAGATTGATGACCACAAAAGAGCTCTGGTTAAGTGTGCTGATGTGCATCAGCCTCTGCGTAAATGCGAAGTAGGGTTTGCAAACAGAGAAGCAAGACAGAGGAGCCAGGGAGAAAAAACTAACTGTGAAACATAAGAAAGGAAAAGGGGCAGTATTATGACATTTCAAGGCTTCATTTCTTTTTAAATTGATTATTCATCTCACCTGGGGAGGGTCTGAACTAAAAAAAAAACATATTTATCTGAGCTTTATGTGCTGATACAATATATGCACCAAAGTGGATAGTCAGAATGTGAATGTGTGACTTTTTTTGAACATATGTAACAGATAATGTGTTAATACAGACACATGGAAGATGAAATGAAGGGGCGATACATACTCAGTGCAATATCTTCCCCTAATGGTGCCAAGTTGTCATTACAGCTTGGAGCTGGTTACACATCAGTGAAGCTGAGGACAATTCCTATCTCATCAGCTCACCTGCAGGAGCCTTTGTAATGACTTTTACTCAGTCTAATTACAGATTGTGTAATTTACATAATAGGTATACTTAGTATTATAAACAGTGTAGGGAACAGCATGGCTGCTGCAATCACATCTCCCTCTCAGTTCCTCTGTTGCCATCATGTGCATCACATGCATACATGTGCTTGTCCATAGAGTGGATCTTCTTACCTGCTAACAGCCTGTTCAATCATCTGTAATGGCTCCCAGAGGAAATTTGATAAATACTGTGTGCAGACCAGTTCCCCCAGAAGCCAGAGCATACATCGTCGCTTGACAGGATTTCCTGCTACATCAATGACCCAGACAGGCTCGAGGGGGGAAAACACACAGGAGTGGAGATTATCATTCTCAACATGGCTCTCATCGTGAGGCGTTAAAGTGAGAAAATGTGTGTTTCGGGAGTAAGATGCTACAGTTCTGTCAGAGGGAAAGGAAATAAAGAAACAAGAGTGTAGCTGTTTGGATTGATTTTATGTTTTGCAGAGGTGTAATTAGCTGCCAGTCTGCCAGTTTGTTGATGAGCAGAAAATCAATGAATATTTTAATAATAAAGCTGTTGCTCAACTATTTCCTCTTTCTTATTGTGAGGAGTGTCTTTTGTTTATTGTAGTAGGATAATAAAAATTACTGAGATTGAATGTTTTTTCCATTTTATTAAACTTTTTTTTAACAATTTTGTTGAAAACAAAAACTTATTAGCAACTTCAAAACCTGAAAAGTGTTCARTGTACATTTTAGTGACTTTACTGGAACCTGCACGTCTTACATTTGCATCTAAAGTAAAACTATTCAATTCAATAAAACTTTGTTTATCCCTGTGGGGCAATTTAAAAAGGCACAGTGGAGCAGCACAAACATAAACACATTACAAACAAGAACTAATATGAAATAAATAAAAAAATAAATTAAAACACCCCATAAAAAATAAAAAATCATCCAGAAAGAGTAATAAATTTAGTGTTTGAGTACACACTATGCATATATAAACTGTCATGCTCCGTAATACTGCTACAATCGTGGCGTTGTATTCATTTAGATCCTGTTTTATTAATATATGACTCAGCATTCCCACAGTTTGATTGAATTCTTTGTTCATTTTAACCCCAGGCTTCGGAGGGAGGGCTACACCGTGCAGGTCAGTGTCAACGACTACCTGGACATCTACTGCCCGCACTACAACAGCAGTCAGCGCGGGACGCTGGAGCGCGTCGTCGCCGAGCAGTACATCCTCTACATGGTCAACTACCGCGGCTACTACACCTGCGACCCCCAGCTGGGCTTCAAGCGCTGGGAGTGCAARCGGCCCCACGCGCCCCACGCGCCCATCAAGTTTTCGGAGAAGTTCCAGCGCTACAGCGCCTTCTCTCTGGGCTACGAGTTCAACGTGGGCCAGGAGTACTACTACATCTGTGAGTCATGGTGTTGTCTGTTGTTACTAACAGGTTGTAGTTTAAAAGTGAGCACCTCCTGAGCGTGATTGAATAAATAACCAAKGTTTGCATCACTTTTAAATCCGATAGGTGAACGACATTTGACCCTTTCAGCTTGTCGTAATACATTACGGAAGTTCATTTGAGGACAGTGTTGCAGTTTTTATAGCTGATAGCTGATGAGCCTGCGGCCTGCAGAGGGCACAAGGTTAACATGTGCATGTGTGTGTTTTCTGTCTTTTAGCCACACCCATCCATCACCACGGCCACAGCTGCCTGAGACTGAGGATCTTCGTCTGCTGCTCCACTGGTGAGGCTTCACATCCACTCATGTTAGGATGGAAGGAAAGATGCAGACAGTGACAAATACAATTTAATAAAATCTGAGAGTTTGGGCTTAGAGAATGATGATGCAGTTTTCTTCCTTCGGAGCTGCGCATTGAAAGTGACAGCCTAATGTTGTTTTCTGTCTCAGTTTTATTACAGTAATGCTCTTTGTCTGTGTAGAAAAGACTTATATATAAAATAAAATAAAATAAAAACTAGATTCGTTTGCAAGATGTTGCTCCTCTTCTCTGTCACTCTTCCCAGCTTTCTTCTCAACCACCTCTTCTGTTTATACTTCTCTTTTTTTGCTTCCTCCCTGATGCCTGCTGCTCTGTATAGTGTGCATGTTATTTTTACCCTGGTAGCCTCACTTCCCCCCCACACACACACATCCCCCTCCAGGCCTTTGATCAGGCAGCACAGCGGTGAAAGCCCCCCCTCTCCCTTAACCTTGTCAGTCCTAATACATCCCACACTCAGGCCGAAGTCAGGCCCCGTGTACAGATCACCTCAACACATCCATGTGTCGCTGCTAATCTATCCACACATCCAGCATCTGTGTTTGTGTGTTTTCAGCATGGTTGTCTGGCTGTATTTTTTCATTTTAATGAGCGTACATGCATTGTGTAGCACACTGCCTCTGAGTCGTTTTTAAAGGGTGCTACGAAAAGCACTATTGACTTTAGCTGCCCTTCTGTAAGCTCCACCCTGACTCTACGAGGCTTCAGGATAAGACAGACATGCAACACTGTGTTTCTGTTCTGTTTCTAGTATTTTGTGCAACAAACATGACCAGTGCATGCGAATGCCAACAAACCACACGTATCATTCAGCTCTGAGACTGAATCTAATTCCACGTCTAGACAAACAGCGAGTGTAATAATGATTTCTGTCCCCCAGTTCTGCAATAAGTGCTTTTAATCCTCAGGTTGGAGTCTGGATTAAGTTTTTTTCTCTCTGAGGCAGGCACAATTTAACTCCAACACACTGAACTATATGGATGAATACAATTTAATAATGCCTAATATGCTAATCGTATAATAATTCCCCCCCACCCATTTCTTTGTCTCATTCTCACCCTTTGTCTTTTCATGTAATTGTTTCTCTTCTCTGTTTTCCTCCTCCCTCCTCTCTCCATCTGTCTGTCTTTGTGTGTTTGCGTTGCGCTCAGCCTCCCAGGCAGATGACGACTCCAGTCAGACTTCTCCCGACTACACAGTCAGGCCAAACATCAAGATACACAACATTGGTGAGTGACTCTCAGATGATGGAAATAAACAAGTTCCTTGATTTGTGTACAAATCATTTCAGAAAGGATTGGGTTTCTGGATTTGGTTCATGTTATTTTGGCTAAAAGCAGTCCTCAAAACATAACTGAGTGAAACTTTTTTTGCTCCTAAGACCTGAAAAATACTTGCAAAACCATGGTTGAAAAGAAACCAGCAGTCCTGTAATATGTGTAGATATTTCTGTAATAAAACTGACCATTCATGTTCTTAATATCAGCTTAAAGAGATCCCCAATTAGTTGCAACATTAGAATTTATTTGATAAACATTTATTTTAACTGTAAAATAAAGACTGTAAAAATACTGTAGGCTGTTTAGTTTTGTAAATTTTTAAAAATATATTTTAACACGGACGGAGCCATTTTATTTACACACAAAGCATTCATGACGTTGAAGGTTAATCTTGGACAATATCTGACGATCGGCTCTTTTAAATGAAACCAGAGAGCGTTGACAGAGAGGAGAAGGTAGAAATGATTCAGCCTGTAACTGAAAATATGGATGGAGGACAACAGAGCTGCTTCATGGAAGAAGAACCTCAGCTTAGCCTGTTAGCCTTTGCGCTAGGGGTTCTTCTTCCATGAAGCTAAACTGTTGTCCTCCATCCATATTTTCAGTTACAGGCTGAGTCATTTCTACCTTCTCCTCTCTGTCAACGCTCTCTGGTTTCATTTAAAAGAGCCGATCGTCAGATATTGTCCAAGATTAACCTTCAGGGTGGATATAGCTTGCTAGCAGCCTCGCACCGAGGACCTATCCACGTCATTATTTACCCAGAATGCTTTCCGTGTAAATAAAATGGCCCCGTCCGTGTAATATATTTTTAAACTTTTAGTTTAAAAATGATAAAAACTAAACAGCCTACAGTATTTTTTACAGTCTTTATTTTACAGTTAAAATATATGTTTATCAAATAAAGTCAATGTTTCAACTAATCAAGGATCCCTTTAAAAAGCCAAAGCACCCACCTCTAACTGTAGACCAATCCACAGTGCACTGGCCCTTTCTAGCAGGGTCCACAAGATAGTGGTCCCATGTAGCTCATACTGCCTGACCTGCTTTACAAGTAGTGTGGTCACTCTGTTGGTTACTTGGTCACAAACACTCAAAGTTCAGTGAGACTGGAATGTAAAATAACAGTTTTTCTTACAGTTTTGAGTCACCAAGTCTGGTTCAAGGGCTATGCCTTGGTATTCCTAATCCAGGCAAGGTGTCATGGTCCATAGGTCTTATAGTCAATGCAATTGAATCCCTCTCCTAGACCTAGACCCAGACTCTGACCCGATCCCTGGAGCAAACTGCCCCATACAACATAGTCTCTGGGGTCTTGGGAGGCTTAGACCTTGGAAGTACTGGAAGCGACATGTTGTGTATAAGAATCTATGTGACCTAACTGTAGTTCAACCCTCAATGGTTAGTGACTGAAAGAATGAGATCACAAATWCAAGCAGCCAAAATGAGCTTCCTCTGCAGAGCAGCTGAACTCAAGCATAAAAAGGAAATGTTGACCTCTAGGGTTTGAAAGCAAGGAGTAAATCTGCTGCTCCTCTGCATCGAAAAGAGCCAGCTGGGATGGATGGGGCGTCTCGCAAAGACGTCTACTGGATGCAGACCCAGAATTTGTTCGATCTACACTTTACTAATCTCTTTTTGTTTGTTTCAAAAATAATCTCCATCCACATTCTGCAAATGTTACACCATGTCAGTGGTGATCCTGTTTTTGTCTTAATGTTTATTTTAATTTAATAAAATCAAACGGAAAAAGAGCAAATACCAAACAAAATCAATATTTTACCACATTAAATATAGGTAATAGATTTCACCATTTTTCATAGTCCTTATTCTTGGTGTTATAGTGATCCTTCCTATTGGTTATGATAACATAATAATTACAATAAATGATGCAACTGGACTGAGCCAAGCCTCTGAAACGGGATTAGCCTCAATTCTGATCTTGTTACAATGTTCATTTGTCAGTGTCATTATAAGATTAATTGTTTCCTCCATCAGCTGCATTAATCCAGTCCTGATCCCGCACACAATTCTCTGACCTCACATTGTGTTATAGGAGAATGATGCTAATGAGTCACACACAGTGAGGCATACAGATTACTTTATTTGCGGACACACATACACAGACAAAAAAAATAGATTCATGATTATTGGATTCAGCTCAAAGCAACGCACYGCTACGTAAAACCTTCCCTTTTCATCTTGCAAAAGCCCACAAGGTCAGCGGAGGTCTTGTAAGAAATGAAAGGTCCGTGTTTACTCAAGAAGCTAGCAAGTCAGCGAACGAGTCAATTGTGCAGCTGAATGGTTACATAAACRCTCTATTTTCTTTTGTCTTTTTTCCATTCCTATCTCAAACAAAAGCCTCTTGCCGGGAATCATTTAGCATGCTTGTTTCTTGGAGCTGAAGGCAGCCTGTGACAAGGACTGAAAGAGTGTGACCTGCCCAAGATGGAAYCTGAGACCAACAGGGATGAATAAAAAAAATGGGGGTTTCAGCCGTAAGCATCATGGTTAGAGAGAAAAAAAAAGAGAAAAGAAAATGATTGGGTGAGCGGCAGAGAGAGGAAACAGAGGCAGCAGGAAAGAGAATGAGATGAAGAGAGGAGGATAAAACTAGCGTGGGGGGGCAGGAAAAGAGTAGAGCAGGGAGAAGGAGCGGAGTAAAAAAAAGAGAAGAGGAATCTCAGTGGTGGGCGAATTGCTCAGCAGTAACTCAGGCTCCAGCTTACGTAGAATTTAATATAAAAAAACACACACTGGCAGGAAATCATAAAAAATCATAGCCTCTAGCGGAGTGATGCATTTTGCTGAATACATTTGGAGGCGTAATAAGATTTACGCACAAGCACGGAAACACACAGCTTTAAAACAACCACGGATGGCTCCCCTGACCGCTGGCCACCCACCGCCTGACTCAGCCTCAGGACCAGACCGGCCCACGGACTGGCTGGGCATCAACACAGCTCTGCATTTCTTCTCATTATATGTTTACATATGTTTTTATTATTAGCTGCCGAGCTTCTGGGTCACGTTTTCCTGATTTAACACATCCTTTTTAGGAGGAACACCTTTTTGTTACAAGTTGGTGCGTTCTCACTGATAATGTTTGATATCTGACAATACTAGATTTAAAGCTACACTCAAAAAATGTTTTGTTGGCTTAACTCAAAAAATGTCACTAATATTTAAACTAATTAAATAAATCCAACATGAAATTTTAGTTTCTGCTAACTGAACATGATTTACTTTGATTTCATAAAGCATAATTAAGCTGAAGCAACCTAATATTAATTTATATTTTTTGGTAATATTAAGTTGACAAAATACATTAGTTGAGTTACTCTAACTTAGTCTTTTATATATAATCATAAATATCCATGTAGTTTCATTTTAAAGTCCCTAAAATAACTTTTCATGTTCTACCTTTTTTGTTGTTGATGGCAAAAGTATTTATTGAATGTATTTAAATATTTAAGTTAAGGAGGTTTTTTTGTGGCTCTGTCATAAAAAAAAATCGCCAACTCACTAAAACGTCTACATGCAGACAACTTAATGTTTTATGCTGAAAAGGTATTTTRATGTCATTGAGGTATGGTCATTGTTTGTGTAGGCAAAACCCATCTTAAATTGGGTTGATTRAAAAAGTGTATAAAGATATACATATTTGTACTATGAGTGTCTACTACAGGTTTAAACAATGTGTTGTTTTTTGTAAATTGCAAAAGCACATCATCATGTTTTTGTCTTCTGCTTTGGTCTCTTTAAGCCCCCTCCTACTACATCACCCGATTTGGTCTTTTTTTCTAGTCAGAAATGACAAACCAGCAGGTTTTCTTAGCTTCTGTCTCAGATAAGTAAAAGAACAAACTCTACAAAGAAGATTACTTCAGTAAGTTRAACAGCAACATCTTGTGTTGGAAGGAACATCTTATTTCATCGTGACCTTTGTGAAGAACTTTTTGTGCACAAGATGTGAAACAGCACATGAAAGGAAGAAAAGCAAATATTAGCCTCACACAGTCAGATCACTTTACTCGGAAAAGAAAATGAAGAGGAACAATAAAAAAGGTGAAAAAGTATAGTATTTACAGTCTGGAAGAGAGTTTTTTTATGAAACAGACAACTCTTTGCTTTTTACCAGCCTGGCAGTTGGTTTGATTGCCTTTCTTACCCAATTAAAGAAAAGTTTTTCCACAACTCTACAATTATTATTGATGAATCCACCACAAAACACAAACAACAATGATMGATTATGAAATGATTAGATTAGCTATTTTACCTTCTGAGCCCTCTGCAACTCAGTTTATTGTGATTATAGCTGTTTTTAAACGAACTATGAACAGTGGACGCCGTTTTGAAAGGAAACAGCTTCTGTTTCACTTCTTACCACTTTAATTAAGTATCTAGCTTTGTTTTTGTAAAAGCTAAAGCAATGGTTGTTGGTCTGCAAGAGAAAACGTGAGAACAACTTTGATTTAATTTGTCTTTTTGCATCTGTATGGGGGCAGATTTTTGAAAATCTGTTGCACCGAGCAAGAAAAAGATGTGTAATTTATGCAAACTGTAAACTCAGTGACCAGAAGAGCTGAAGTTGCTCAGTCTCATTTATGGCAATCTAACAATAGACTGAGGCTGGACAAAGCTAACATGTTACTTTATTTATTCAGCCTCATGTTAGCCTTTTTTGGGAGCAATCTGATAACTAAAGTCTGAAAGTCAGGTCAAAACAGACAGTTGGCTCGTCTTCACGATCCATTTAAATCACTAACCTGCTTGAAGTTTAACTGAATCCTGGGTCTTCCACTAGTTAATAGGTGCAATAGCAGCACTTTCTGAGTTATGTCATGCTGTTTACGGCTCACTGTAGATCCGCAATCACTATGTTTGTAGCATGGTGTGAGGATTTATCAGAGCAGACAACCTTTTCCTTCACTTATCGACAGTCTGGAGCCGGTGTTTCTTATCTAACTGTAAACGCCTCGGGTGGTTTAGCTGCGGACACCGGCGCTGCCCTGCGTGTCTTCTGTTGTTCTTACCCTACATAGACAGGAATATAACCGGAAATTGATTGGTGGATCCAAAAATTTGCTCTGTGGAATTCAGAGCCATGCTGCGGACCTTTTGATACCTCGTTGCAGCCTGAGGCGTCCTCCCTTCCCACACGTTCATTTTCAGAGACAAGCTTTCCTTTAAAAGAGTTTTGAGGGGAAGTTTGTTGTAGAGATTCTACCTGCAAACGAGTCTGGAAGAATTAGTTCACATTAAAACGTAAAGGTGTGCAGGCATCTTCTCTTATTCTGGCCTCCGAATCTGCAAACATGCTTTGTTGTGATGATCCTGCTGTGGCTCCTCTGAGGCAGCACAAGTTTCATTTCTCCTTCCTGTCTTAAAGAGGACACATCATGAAAGATCCACTTTTTTAGTCATTAAATACATTTTGTTGTGCACTTGGAGTCTCTAGGAGTGCAGAAATTTTGAATTGAGTCTCTCCCGGTGCAACATTGATTTCTTTTTATTTAGTTTGGGTCGTACTTTTCAACCCATTCAGTGTTCTCTCTTTTCTATGACATTTCTGAACCGTTACGTCAAATTATTTGAGACGTAACCAACTACGGCTAGGTCAGGTTTTGGCTCCAACATGTAAAACTGGATGGAAAAGTCTTCCACTGTTGACATATTTTAATTCATTTGTAAATAAAAAAGTTTCTGAGCTGCTGTATAGTAGGGGTGGGCGTATTGATCTAATTATCGATAATATTGATACCGAGATTAATATCAGTATTGGCTTGATTTTCGCGTGATGAGATTGATTCTTTTGTTTACTCCTTATTTGACTTTATTTTTCACAAACCGAAACCAAAATCCCTAGTGTCACCCACTCCTACTGTGTAGTTGCAGCACATCAAATTAGTGGACCGGTCTGGAWGCTGGAGGGGGGCGGGGCTTGTTTGGATTTAAAGGGATACATGATTATTTGCAACATTAAACATTTTTTATAAACATGCATTTTTAACTGTAAAATAAAGACTAAAAATGCTGTAGGCTGTTCAGTCATGTAAACTTTTAAAAATACAGTATATTTTAACACAGATGGAGCCATTTCATTTACACGCAAAGCATTCTGGGTAAATGATGACGTGGATAGGTCCTCAGTGTGAGCGAGCAATATCCACCTTGAAGGTTAACCTTGGACAATATCTGATGATCGACTCTTTTAAATGAAACCAGAGAGCGTTGACAGAGAGGAGAAGGTAGAAATGACTCAGRCTGVAACTGAAAATYTYGATGGAGGACAACAGAGCTGCTTCATGGAAGAAGAACCTCAGCTTAGCCTGTTAGCTTTAGCGRRAGRGRCGACYTCATCATTWARCCAGAYTGCTTTGCGTGTAAATAAAATGGCTCAGACTGTGTAATATATATTTTAAAATTTAGTCTAAAAATGATAAAAACTAAACATCCTATAGTATTTGTACAGTCTTTATTTACAGTTGAAATTAATATTTGTCAAATAAAGTCTAATGTTACAGCGTCGAAATGAGTTGATCTGAGACGCACCTTAGAAAAGAGGTGAAYGTGGGGCTTGTGGAGTTGCTGCCMRTAAAGATAATTTTGAAGCCTTATATTTACAGAGATTTGTTTCCTTTTTTGTTTTCCTAGACTCTTTCTAGTAAAAAAAAGAGGGTGAGGGAGACAATCGGAGCTGTACTAATAAAATCTATTTGGTTCCATTTTATCTATTTTCAAATATTGTTGATATAATGGGAAGCATCAGGTCAAGAATAAGGATAATGATTCTATAATTCTGAAAATTACAAAATGTGCTGCAGCTCTTTCCATCTTCCCCTCAAGCTAATGTTCAGTTTTGTCAAATCAGTGGTAAGGACACAGTAATTTGGTTTGATTGAAATCCCTTCAGGACAAAAACATCATTAGTGTAAAAAAAAGAAAGAAACATTTCAGAAATCACTGTGTTTTTTAATTCTTTCTCCCACAGGGGCAAGGCCATATGTAGCTGATGATAATTGGTGGTTTGTTGAWAATTGCACAACGTCTCTTTTCTGCATATTTTAAAGCACAATTTGCATGCGTTACACACTCCCTTGATAAATTCTTAATATATTAATGGTTTATTTTGTTCTGTGGGTCTTTTTCTCCCCCACTCTCTACAGATGAGTTTAACCCCGAAGTTCCCAAGCTGGAGAAAAGCGTGAGTGGCAGCAGCCCATCCCGCGACCGCCTTCTTCTCACTGTGGCCATGCTGCTCGTGTCCGCCGTCCTTTTGTCCTAGCGACCGTCACGGAGTGGTGACTGCCTCGTCCAAAGGGCTTTGCAATCCACCAAGTTTTCGATGAGGTGAAAGTTCAAGGAGTTTGAGGAGTTCGACTCGAGTGCAACAGATACAACTCGAAGACAAAGAGGAAAAAGAAATAAATTTTAAAAAAGAGGCCTTTTCGCTGTCGTCAACACCTGCGCGTGCTGACTGTTGCTGGACGTCGTTATCACGACGTGTCATGCAGGTGTGGTGACCACGCAGACATCYCAACCAACATTCAGAGTCAGACTTTGGTGCTGCTCCCCCGACTGATATGAACCCCGATCTTCACACTCTTTTTGTAGCATGGATAGATAAAAAAAACACTTTGTCACCTGATGAAAGCAAAGATTTTGTAAGGTCGAGCTTTGAAGAAGATGGCAGCTCTGAACTCTGCAGTGGATTCTTTTTTTTTTTCTCCCCATTTTTTTAAAGGACCCAGCATGGCGACACATTAAACCCAACTTTGATGTAAAAGTAAGATGGACTCTGGAACTGTACCGGGGCATCTACATAATGAGGGAATAATAAGAACTGCTGCCATTGTCCGGGACATTGTAGAATGTTTTCACACTGGTGTGTGGTAGCTGCTGGTAATAAAAGCCCAAGAAAAAGGGTAATAATTTGTATCTGTGGGCCTTTCAATAATCCATTTTCTCCAGACATCAAAAATACCCCTGGCTTTGTGATAGCTGCTTTCCTTAGAGGGTAGTGAGTGCCCTCTCAGAACTAGTCTTTTGTCTGCATTTCCTGCCTTCACACTGTAACAACCCTAGAAAAATACAGACCCTGGACTAGTAATTTGACGGCACTTAGACGCAGTAGACGTGTGTTTTGTTCCAGTGCATTTACCTTTGTAGATTTTTCCAGATGTCAAACTTCTTAAGAAGAAAAAAAAAAAAAGAAAAAAGACAACAGTACTGCTCGCAGCAATCAGCAGTCATTCAAATACGCCTCTAATTTGCGATTGTTCAAAACCTCCGTCAGCAGCAAAGTACCCCCACTCCACCACCATGTTCTTTAAAAAAAATACTCAGACAACCATGTCTGTTCCTTATTTCCATTTCGCAGGTCCGCAGCCAATCAGGGCTGATGGCCGTCGCAGCAGTCACCGTTACCATGGATAAGACCCCATACAGTCGCCAAAGTGCGGCAGGTGCCTGAGGAGAAATTATGCTTTGAGTCTCAAAGTAACGCTGCCGCCATTTTGTTAAAAAGTTCCAAAAAATATAAAAAATAATAAAATAAAAAAGAAACTAATAAAAACAAACACGCGTGAATGTGAAAAACAACGAGTTCACTTTTTTTATATCGTAACCCGACACATTGTAGGCAAGCGTTAATTAAAATACAATGTTGTGCTTTCTAATTTATTTTCCAATGTTTTTTTATTTAAACATTAAAAGTATTTATCTACCTTATTTATTATTGTGCATTCGTAGGCCTTTGCTCTATAAGCTATTGTGCCATTATTTTTTAAATATTTCTTTTCCAAACGGTGGAGTTTTTACRGCAGCATTTCGCTCGTTTAGACAAYTAGAAGTGATTCAGCTCGTCACGAGGAGGTGGTTGTTCTGACCAYTCAGAAGGGAGATACAGTCAGTGACCACAGACATGTAAAAGATAATAATGTTGATGAACCACAAATAAAGCTGGTGTAGTTGGGCAAAACCAGGAAGTCTGCACTGTAATGTATATATGCTGGTTATGGAATGTGTATGGGTGTGCACAAAAAACAAAAAGAGTGTTTTTATGAGTGTGTGTGTTTGTTGGAGTGAACGAGTACATGTGTGTGTGGGAAGTATTTGTCCGCGCTTTTCAAGTTTGTGGCATTTAGAGAATTTTTGTACTCGTTATGGAGGCATTTGTAGAATCTGAATATGCAAGAGTGAACGAGAGAATGTGCTCTTCTGTCATGTTTGTTTTTGTTTTTTTGTTTTTTTTTTTAAGAAAAGGGGGATCGGAGGTGAGAACAATAAGCATTTACCAATATTTAAGAGAACCACAAGATGTGTTTACCTTTGACATGAATGAATAAACTGTAAATTAAACCAAGAATGATTAAAACGATGCCAATTAAAATCTTTTTGCAACTTTGCTTTGGCGTGCTTCTTTCACAATTTTTCACTCGTCTTCATCGGCTCTTCTTAATTTTTTTCTTTATCTGAACAGAACACGCTTACCTGTAAGGCAAGAAAGTAAACATTCATGATTGCTAATCTGTTTTGTACTAAATACTTGGCTGAAATTTGATTTATAAATAAATAAAAAGCCTGGAAAGGAAAATCTCTGCGTGATCGTTTGAAGACCTATTTGCAACTTAGTGGGAGACCAAAATTCTTGTGATTAAAAAAATTACATCAAATTGAAACTACACCATGTTTTGTCAAATTCTTGCCATAATCAGTCAAAAAGCTTTCCTGAAAATTATCAAAAGGGGTCTAGCTTCTTTCTAAAATCACCTCGGAACGTTTTTTAAACTTAAATCCCAGTTGTAATGTAGGGCAACTGGTGCTGATTTTATAACCAAATGTTTTTTCTCTTATTTAAACATCAACATTTTTACCTTTGTGTCAAACTGTAAATGTCGTAGTGTCAGAATATAACTTCAAAATAAAAAAAGTCATCACAAATTCTTATGTGACCAAAAATTTAATTATCAAACACAATTTGCCTTAAAGACATAATTTTATGTTATACAATAATAATGAAATCAATCCATTCATTTTTGGAGCAGATTCATGTTTTAAGCAGTTATAATTGATCATTAATTGATTCATGAGTCGACTTTTTTGGAGGGAGGTCGATTATCTTCACAGAATTTCAAGGCAAACATTTATGTTTTGTCTACTTAGAGATGCTGTCTGCCATGAAGGATTTCATCATAAATCACCACTACAACACGTTGCACAAAGCTAAATATAAAAAGTTTACTGAAGTCACAATCACATTTTTACCAGAACCCCAACAATGCAGGAGTCTGCACTCAATGCATTTTATGATGTTGCACTTAGTGTGTGTTTGTCTCAGATATTTTGTATTAATTTTTATTCAACAAGAGTATTCAACAAATACTATTATACATGCATTTGAGCATGAAATAGGCTATGTTGCTGCACTTTTTGTTGACTTAATAAACATATAGAGTGGGTAAAATAAGTATTGAACACGTAAACATTTTTCTCAGTAAATATATTACTAGAGGTGCTAATGACATGAAATTTTCACCAGATGTCGGTAACAACCCAAGTGATCCATACA